TTGTACCATCTAAGCCCAAATAGCCAGCATTAATGTTTGCTACCATGAATTCCCATCCCCACTAAAGCACAGAGAGGTGGCAATGCTGTGATAAAGACAGGAGTAAACAAGTCTATTTTCAAACAAGGAGAAAAAGTTTTGTTTATAAAACTAAGCAGAGAATGAAAAGACCTCCTTCTCCAGGTAATTTAACTAAAATTTTGTTCATAGTGGCTGATCACATGGATTACCTGCTCGTACTTACTGTGCCATGTCCGTTTGCCTCAAAATAAACACCCACATCAAACTCCTGGGCCTTGTGGTGCAAGTGTTTCACTCCTGTTTTGACGCAGTGCACAGGTACCTGCAGCCCAAGGGTGTGCAGAGAATGACAACAAGGTCACAGACTCTCCTCAGCAGGCTGGAACTGAGCACCCTCACCTTCCTCAGCCTGGAAGGACTGTTACAAACTAACCCGTGTTTCATGGCCACTGAGCCTCATAGCTAAAATGCTCCACTATTTCTGCTGACCCCCATTAAAAAATATTTCATTTATTCCCGTGAGGAATAAAGGCTAATTAAATAAACTCCAAACCTAGAAAAATCCAATTTAGTTTATAGCTTCAGGGAACACACTAGATTCACATACAAACAGAAATAATGAATACCTTCTCTCAATCCCTGAACATTTAGCTTGCTGCAGAAAATAAATCAGTGTCAAAGTATCAAGGAGGCTTTACTGACTCACTTGGTTGCAAAGCTATAAAGTCCTCAGTTTGTTTAAGTACCAAGGGATTCAATTAAACATTTTTTAAATTAATAAAAGCCAACTAGAACTTTTTAAGCTCTGCTCTCTTGCATCTCCTTTGCCACCAAGAATTTAGTCACTACTGGAGGTTTGAAAGAGTAATTTTTGCTTGATTTTAATTTTCCTAGCAATCATATTACAGTAGCATTTACTTTTAGAATTAAAAAAAAAAGTCAACTACCTAGAAAAAACACGGAGAATACCTTCAGTGTTTCCTGGAGGTAGCGTGTGGAATTCCCATTGGCATATGCTGTTTGTACCACTGCCATCTTGAAGTCCTGTTTCACCTGAGCAAACCAATAAACCAAGTTTTACTGTCCAGCAGGCACACAGCCAAACAAAATGGATAAATGGAAAGATAATCAGAAGAACTTTTAAATGTACAATTAAAACTCCTGGGTACTAGAGGGAGGCACCAGCTCACTGAGAACTTCTGCAGCTTTAAAACAACATGAATTCTGTTCAAATATTTGTACATCCCATACTGATTTTTCCTGGGTCTGGCTGAAGCAGCTCTTCAAGCTCAGACCTTCCAAACCCCTTTTTGGCCACAGCAGTGAGGTACAGGACTGGTTTTTAAAGCTGGTTCACTTTAGGTACATGTAAAGAGACCACATACTAAGCAACACAGCTTCCTTAGACTACTTTATACTTTACAAACTAAAATGCCAGCATTCATTTCATATGTTAGAGTTACCTTGGCAAGAAGTTCTTTTAGGAAGATACTAATTAAAGTTGCTATTTTATCTCCATCGATCAGGTGAAAATGGCCAGCTGTGTCCTTATAATAATAAACAATTCTATCTGCATCCCCATCAAATGAGCAGCATCTCTCATTGGGCTTCATGTCCAGCCCTAGTGCACAGAGTTACAAATGCAAGTTAAAGACAGGAAAAGAAACAAAACCAGGTAATTTATTTCAGTGAGTGATTAGGAAAACACATTTTCTTTTCAGAGCACAGGTCTGCATACAAATGAGTGCACTCAGGCACAGTTAAAGCCAGGACCCAGACAGGAGGCACAAGCATCAATCCCCAGCAGGCCCTGCCACTGTGCTGCTCCCAGCACGACCTTTCTCCAGTACACAGCCAGCATGGGAAGGGGAAGCAACACCACATATTGGTGTTCAGATTTTGTCAGCAGCTGCAGTGAGAGGGCAGCTGTCCAATGCAGAATTTAGTTCAGCTTCACATAATCTCATACCCAAACCAGCCTGCTCTCCCAGTTCAGGGCTTTTCTTTCACACAACTCTCAGAAAACTGACTGAAATCTTTTCCTCACTGTCAATGAGTCAGCCTGCTGGCACCGAGCTGTCAATTAACCCAGCCCTTCTGCAGGAACCCGGAAAAGTGTTTCTTCATAATACAAAGGGGAGTAAAATAAATAACACTAAACCAGTCCTGACTGATCTTTGGACTCTGCCAGCTTAACATTCACCATATTTCAGCCAGTCAGAGAGATGCTGTGCTCCTCCAAGCAGTTCAGGCTAACAGAGATTGCCAAAGCTGGCCAGGCTGTTCCCTCTTGCCATTGCACAAGGAGAGCCATTCATGCAGTCACTTAGTAAGAAACAGGAAGCTACACTTACCCAAGGATGTGCACCCTTGCCAGACCCTGCAGAGGAGGTAAAGCAACATAAAATTACTGACTACTTACCTCCAGGTGGTTTCTGGTGAACTTTCACAAAATCTGCACCACATAAGTGATTGAGTTTCTCCTTGGTTCCATCATTATATATGTGAATTAGCACCTCTTGTGGAAAGTAGGGCTTCATTTCTGATAGTTTCAGGGCTCCTATGCCATTGGCACAGTCAATCTTCAGGTGCCTCTGAAACTCTCCGGAGCAGTGAGACTGCTGGGAAGTGCAAGGGAAGAAGAGGCAGAGTGAACTGTTACCCTAGAGAAACCACACCTAGAGCATGCTGAATAGAAACTTCAGGCCCAAACAGGCCAACAAACAGAAGAGATTAATTTTGTACATTTGTATGAAGAAGACAACACCTGCTATTCACCTGTTTTACCAGTTCCATAAAAGCTTTGGAGAGTTTTTCATAATAACCTTCCAGTGTTGCTTTCCCATACTGCCCTTGGGTGTTTTGACAGCAGACCATGTAGTGGAGCTGTGGTGTCGTCACCAGACCATAATCTAGTGTGAAATAAAAGGAACAACATTCAGAATAGAATTGCAAATTAATTGTTGCTTAAAAGTTGTACAGGGAGCAGACAAGTGCAGTACAGGAAACACCTATGGCATTTTCCAAGTTATGAAAACACGACCCTCCCCTGCCCTGCCTTAAAGCCATGCAACCACCCTGAAATAAAAGTGTTACAAGCAAGGATGGAAATGTGTCTGGGCTGTTGCCTTAGGGCTGTATAAAGGAGTCACATTTACATAAAAATACTTGAAATGAGATTAGAATTGCAGAAGTGTAACGTACCATGGTACTGACCACCTAGAACCTGGATACCATCTATAACTGACTGGGACAGCTTCTTGCTGCTTGGCCTGGAAAACAACAAGTACATCTGAACACCCTGGCAAAGGCATTTATCTATGGATTCTATGGGAAAGGAAAAACACGTGTGGAAGACTCTACAAGCTTTCTGCCACAAGATTTAGACTCACTGTGAAGGAATCCAAACCTTTCTCTGCTGTAGGCAATTCCCAATAAAGTCTGAAAGCCAACACCCCCAGGGATTGCAAACACCTGCAAAGTGCAGGACACCACCCAGTACCCACACAATTCCCCTGAAGACAGCACTGGTACTTCCATAAGAGCAGGATATATCCACAGCCTTTTGTCATTACCTGGTGTCTCTGCCAATAAAAACTGAGGCATCTTTGTGCAGGTTCACTGCTGCTTTTTGGCAGATCTCAGTTATCACCTTCTGTAATTCTTGCTCCTCTGCATTTGCTAGTTGTGTGGCATACTCTTCCCAGGAAGGGTGCAGCATTTCTCCAAGAGGATCAACCAGCTTTACACCATTGTCTTCCTTAGTAGAAAAGCAAAAGGACAAAAAATAGTAAGTCTAAAAGTGGGGAACTAATAAAACCTCTTTGAAGACAGACAACACAGGGTTCAGTCACATTGCTTCTTTAAAAGTGGAGAACTTCTGGGATGCAATAGCTTAGCTGTTCTTTTAAACCTCCAACAAGCCCCCAAAGAAGCACTATAACAAGCACATTGAGTAACCAACTCTTTCTCCCTTATAATTTTGGTGTGAAATTAATTGGATATTAAAAATACCTGAGAGGAGATTCAAATAACCTTCAATGCTCCACAGCAGCAAAAGTCTAAATGCCTGATTTGTAATCAATGCATTTGCACGTTTATTTTTAAAACTTACAGATTTTACTCAAAAAAACTTACAGATTTTACTTTTTCTTCTCTTCTCAGTGTTACTCCTGGCTTCCCAACATTAGAAAGTTACACTGCAACATGAAATGTTTCCTGTGTTACACTATTTCCACAGGAGAAAAAAAATCCTGCTTCTGTGCACAGGGGAAAAGTAACTTCAAATAGACCAGAGATCCTATGCATGGGGGCAGGCTGAGTGCTTTAGGCAGGACCAAATGTCTTCAGGGTCTGGTCTATGATGAGCTTGGACTCGGGCCGCGCCCCCGCCCGGAGCCGCGGCCGCGCAGGCGCAGCCCCGCCCACCCGGGAGCGGCGCGCGGTGAGTGCTTTAGGCAGGACCGAATGTCTTCAGGGTCTGGTCTATGATGAGCTTGGATGCCAACAAGCTGATCACATCTCTCCACCCTTCCACCAGAACACCTCATTCCACCGAGCCGGCGGGGGCAGTGCTTACTTCAGGGTTGTGCGAGGCCGTGACCATGATGCCGATGGTCGCCGTCACGGCCTTGGACCGCAGCACGGCCAGCAGGCCCATGCGGAACACGACGTGGTCCAGCTGCCCGGCCTCGGAGCGGAACCCGGCGGTGCCGTAGTGCAGGGTGAGCCCGGCGGGCTTGGGGTGCAGCGCCGAGAACTTCCTAAGGGCTTCGGCATCCATCGGGACGGCGCGGGTGGAGTGCGAGCAGCCAGCGGCGGGGAGCGGTCCCGCCCAACGGGAAGGAGCCGCGCGCTCCGGGAGGAACAGCGGGATCAGACACACGCACGCCGAGCCAGGAGAGCCACCATTCCCTCACGGAGCCGGCGCGGCCCCGCCCACTCGCGGCGGGACCGACCAACGCGGAACGTCCGGGAATGGCGGCGGCGGGAGCGCGCGGGCCGCGTCCCGCTGGGATGGGCTGGGATGGGATGGCATGGGCTCGGTTCGGCTCGCTGTGACACCTGCCTCGCACAGCTTCGCTGACAGCACGCTCGGATCATAAAGTTGCCCCCCCAGAGCGCTGCTTTTGGCTGGGGCCGCGTTAATTTTCTTCACAGCGGCCGGTACGGGGCTGTGTTCTGGATTTGTGCTGAACAAAGTGGTGATGATGATGATGATGTGATGTTTTTGTGATTGCTGGGCAGGGCTCACGCAGAGCCGAGGCCTTTTCTGATTTCTGTGCTGCCGGGCTGGTGGGGAGGCTGGGGGTGCCTGGGAGGAGACACAGCCCGGACAGGTGACCCCGAGTGACCAAGGGGACATTCCAGACCATGGAACATCCTGCTCGGTGTGTAAGGCAGGGGAAGAAGGAGGAAGGGGAGGATGTTTGCCCTGATGCCATTTGTCTTCCCGAGTCACCGTGAGGTGTGATGGGCCCTGCTCTCCTGGGGATGGCCGAGCACCCACCTGCCCATGGGAAGCAGGGAATTCATTCCTTGTTTCCTTGTGTGCGCGGCTTTTGCTCTCCCTGTGGAGCTGTCTTCATCTCAAGCAGTCAATTTTCTGCCTTTTTCCCTTCCCATTCTCCCCGATGCCGCGGGCGGGGGAGGCGGCTGGGGGCGAACCAGGACACCCAGACAACAGCGGGTGTCTGTGAATTTAAACAACGTAAATAACATAAATAACATAAATAAATAACATAAACAATGCAGCTCTGCCCATGCACATCAGCGCGGCTCTCTGTCCCTGAGCCCGGTGGGGCCCGCAAGGCTCCCCCTGCCCGGCTGGGGCTTCCCTGGGAGGCTGAACCCCACCGGGAGCTGACCCCCACCGGGAGCTGACCCCCACCGTGTGCTGAACCCCACCGGGAGCTGAACCCCACCGGGAGCTGAACCCCACCCTGTGCTAAACCGCGGCCTTGACTCCTCTCCTCTCGTTGCAGGCCCGCGGCGAGGGCAGTGCAATGGCTCCCACGGTGAAAGAATGCCTGGAGCTGCAGCTGCTGGAGGTGGAAATGCTCCTGTCGATGTTCCCCAAAAGAGGAGAGTTCACTCTGGATGCGGATGCCGTGCCCAGCATCCGGCGGTACCTGGGGAATGCTGAGGGAGCCCTGCCCCCGCAGCTGGAATATCGCATCGCTCTCGATGTGGGGGAGGCGAAGGTGAGAGCTGCCAAGGAGAAATGGTCATGGGTGGTGGTGTCTTTACTCCTGCACACACTGCAAAAGGATGCTTGGAAAAAAGGGGGTAAAAAAACCGCCATGTTTTTGTTTGCTCTTTGAGAAGTCTAGAGTAACAGAAAATCTCGGCTGCTGCTAACATGTGTGTGAGAAATGTAATAATGTAAAAATAGCCCCAAATGGCAGACTGCAATTATGAGGAGTCCCAAGGACACCAAAACCAGCCTATGTGCAGAGAACCAAACTCTCAGTATAAGGAGTTCCAACAGTTTAACTGATTGAAGAAAGGGATTGAAGTAATTAGTGTAAATACTTGCACAGAGAACACAGGTCTGAGTGCATACTAATGCAGTGGCTAGAAATTGAGAACAGACAAACTCAGCCTAAAAGCCATTTTCCATGGAACAAAGGTAATCAAACATTAGAACAATTTACTGGGTAATGAGATGGCCTCATGATTTTTTAAACTTTAGGAACAAGCTTAGGTATCTTTCTAAAATGCGCCCTTTCACCAAACTACAGAGAAGTTTTATGAGCCTTGTAGGGGCGGCTTGTGTAGGAGTAGTGGGGTTTTTTCCACAGCAGATCGTCAAGGGACTTGGAAAGATAATTAGTCATTTAATGATTCACTTCTCTCTACAGGACTATTGTGCACTGTAGTGCACTGTAGTGAGTAACCCCTAACAGTCTACAGGAGCTTGAGGCACTGAGGACACATAAATCCTTTCCTGCTCTTGGACTAGAGGCAGGGTTCAGCTCCCAAAGAACTGTGGTGGTCTGTTTGAAGGCACTGTAGGAATAATCAAGAGAAATCCAACAGCCCAATGTTCATAAGAGATCAGATAAGATAATCTTGAGGTCTCCCTGACCTGAAATGTACATAAATCTTTACATCTTCTATAATCCTGATTCCTCTTTATGGTGAATATTTGCTTAAAAAACACACAGAATCATAGAATGGTTTGGGTTGGGAGGGTTATTTCCAACACTCCTGCCACGTGTCCCTATATGCAGTAGGTACAGTCACAAACACCATTCCATGGAACTCTTGGCCTTTATTTCCAGCAGCTGGGCTGAGTTCATTAGTCATGTGCATTTGGTAAGGGATGAGATTCTCAAAAGCCCTTGACTCCAACAGGTCACTGCTGTAGCAACACTGAGCTAGAAATATCCCTGGGTAACTGTGTACCTTCTCCCAGGCCATAGCATTAGTTCTGTGAACAGCACAAAAGCTGCCTGGATAACAGGGGAAGTGTTATGAAAGTGACAGCATGATGCAACACAAGAAGAGGAGCAGACAAAAGAATGGGTTTTGGGACAAAAGGGAAGTGGAAATAGTTCCAGTCAGTAGGATGCTGCAATCTTGATTACATCTCCTCATAATCTGCCTCTGACAGGGAACAAGAATCCTGTGTGTTTTCAGTAGCTGCAGAATTAATTTTCTCTGTGTGTGTGTCTTCTGTTTTTAAGGCAAAGGTGGAATTGCAGGTTCTCCTGCCTCATATGTACCCTCATGTGGCTCCTCAGCTTTTTGCCAGATCAGATGCTCTGCACAGACAGCAACAGTTGCAGCTCAACACGCGTCTCATGTCTCACATCAGCTCTCTGGATCCAGGAGATCTGTGTGTATGTGAGGCTGTGCAGTGGGTGAAGGACAACACCCTGCCCTTCCTGGAAACCTGTCAGGCCTCGTCTGAGTGTGCTCCTGAAGAAGTCAGGGTTAAGGAAATGCTGCATCGCATGTGGATCTACAGCCATCACATATACAGGCAGGAACTCAGGAAAAAGATCTTTGACTGTGCTAAGAAGTTAAATCTGACTGGCTTCTGCCTGACTGGGAAACCTGGTGTCATCTGTGTGGAGGGACTCCAGGAAAACTGTGAGGAGTTCTGGCGTGTTATTAGATATCCCAACTGGAAGCATATTTCATGCAAGCATGTGGAGAATATAGAAACAGAGGGAAGCATTGATAACCTTCGTCTCTTTCACAGTTTTGAAGACCTGCAGTTTCAGGCACATGGTGATTATGGCCTGAGGAATGACTATCACATGGATCTTGGCCAGTTTCTAGAATTCCTAAAACAGCATCAAAGTGGACACATTTTTCAGATTTTATTTGGTGTTGAAGGCAAACTTTCAGACAATTGAGAGAAACTGAGTTCTAATTCTGTAGAGCAAGAGGTGTTGCTAACACTGAAATATTTTGCCTTACAGCTACTGTGAAAAAGGAAACTTTTAACATCTGAGATGAATGGTTAAAGTAGTTAATCCCAGCTTTTGTGCTAAACTGCCATGAATTTTTGAGACGTGTTCACTAATTTTTTAAGACTCTAAAACTGGCAGTTGTCTCTGTAAGCCATGCCTCAAAGCACTTGCAAGGTGATAAATATTCCAGTGTGTCAGGAATTATACACTTCTGTCTTCTCATCTGTACTGTGCTGTGTGAGTTTATTCCCATCTCATCTGAACCTACTCTCTTACAGTTTAAAACATTCCCCCTGTCTTGTCATTATATGCACTTGTAAAAAAGTCCAGCTTTCTTGTAGTACAGGTCCCTTCGGGTACTAGAAGGTGCTATAGGTCTTGCCAAAGCCTACTTCTTCTCCAGGCCGAACAATCCCATTTCTCTCAGGCAGTTATCTAGGAGAGATACTCCAGCCCTCTGACCATTTTTTGTGGCCCTCCTCTGGACTTGCTCTAGCAGGTCTGTGTGTTCCTTTTATGTTCATTTGGGGTCTCACAAAAGTGGAGCAGAGGGTGAGAATCACCTCCCTCAGCTTGCTGGTCATGCTGCTTTTGATGCAGCCTAGGGTACAGCTGGCTTTCTTGGTTTCAACTGCACATCACTGACTCATGTTGAGCTTCTTCTCTACCAGTGCCAAGTCCCTCTCCTCAGAGGTGCTCTCCACCCAGTCTGTGTTTGTGCTTGGGATTGCCCCAACCCAGGGGCAGGACCTTGCACTCAGCCTTCAGCACCACAAGGCTTGCATTTCCCACCTCTCCAGGTCCCTCTGGATAACATCCCTTCCCTCCAGTGTGCTGACTGCTCCTTGCAGCTTGGTGCCACCAGCAGACCTGCTGGGGGTGCAGTTGGTCCCACTGGCCGTGTCACCAACAGCCATGTTAATACCAGCCCCTGAGGAATGCCACTGCCACTGGTCTCACTTGGACACTGAGCCATTGACTGCAACTCTTTACAACCAACCACCTGACCTACCCAGTGGTTCATCCATCAAATCCATGTCTCTTCAGTTAAGGATGTCATGAGGCAAAGTGTCGGTCCGGTTATGTTAATAACAATTTTTCATCTGTTCAGTTTGTGGCATTTTATGTTTACACTCTTAGGCCAAACACCTTGGAAATGAAAATAGGTCAGATGAGACAAAGTTTCGTTTTCCTCGCTACATTACATAAGAAAATACATGTATAATACAGAAAATAGGAAAAATCCCCTATCTATATATATATACATATATTTTTTTTAATATGACATAAAAATACAAATAACTTGAAGAGTCCTTTCTATGTCAAATTAGTGTGGAGAGAATTTTCCAGCAGCTTGTAGTAGGCAATGCTGTTAATGGTTCATTAGGCAGTGTTTTACTGCAGGGAAGCGTGCTGAGTGTGGATGTGGATGGTGAGTGTTCCAGTTTGTAATGCATGATCATATTTAAATATAATATGTATAATATAATGTGTATCAATATGTTTCAATATAATATATAGTTAAAGAACACTACTGAAAAGTCCCCTTGAAGGAACAGCAGCCCACCACCTCCCACTCTGTGCCTGAGTGCCTTCATGTGAAAAAGCAGACTCACTGCTGAGCTGCACCACTCCAACACCCAGGCACTCAGCAGCACCTGGTTAAAGTGTGTTTCAGCACACTTAGCTGATGAGAACATAAATAACAGATATTACTTTATTTCAAATTAAGTACAGGGAAGTGTTTTAATACCCTTCTCACAATAGCAATACATTGAAATGCAGAGGATGGCATTGAAATGCAGAGTGTTTCTGGTTGCTCAGAATATGATTAATGTATTTTTCTTCACTGTGGTAGGTTGTGATAAGTGTACTGTTGTGTGATCGTAACTTCTGCCAAAAGCACAGTGAAACAAAAATGTTGACACGTTCCCATTAGGCAGTGAGGGAGCAAGTGCCTCTCTTTCTGAATCTGGGACCTGTAATCTGCAGCTGTGACAGAGCTGAGGGGCCAGACAAGTGAAATTAGTATTTGGTTTTCTAGAGATAATCTCTCTAGTAAAGATTAGAGAGAAACAGATGGTAGAAAAAATGTTTAAGTAACCTTTGTTTCCAGAACCATCCAGAAAATATTTTACATTTTTCTTGGAGTGTTAATTGTTACCAACTAATAATTCCTTAAAGTCTATTCCTGGCATTTTGATGCCTCCCTTTTTGTCAGGAACATGGAGTTCAAGAAATTAGCACAAACATTTGTAATGGATCAGAACAGTGCTTATCTTGGTGGGGGAATTAAATCCTTGATCTTACACAGGACATCACCTTAGCTAATGTTAAATGTTAGTATTGTTAAATGTTATTGTTAGTAGTGTTAAAATGTTCTGATTAGATGTGAACAAAAGGTTCTGCAGATTTGGTTCTAGAAAATTTTCATTTCGTAACTCCACACAAGAGTGATCAGTAAACATTTTCTCTGGAATAAAACATTCTAACCTTATGGTTGTTTAAAGTTTGGGATTTTTTAAAAAATAATAGGTTTACAAATTATGCAAGTTACACTGTGACTGTAATGGATAAAATATCAAATGTATTTTTAAATGCCCATTTATCTGCTTAAGTTCCCATTGATGTTTGTGACAAAACTTTTGACTCAAGATATAACCACTTTTTAAAAAAAATCTGTCAAACTGTAGTGCAGGATATCTCAATTAAAATAACAATCAAAATAACCAAACACAAATATATCTCTCAGATTAATTTTTATTTTCTGATGTATAATTGACGATGTCTTGATCTGAGTTTCTAACCAACTACTGTGAATTAGAAAAAGTTTTCTGCATCTTAAAAAATTAGCTATTCTTAGGCTCTCTAGGCAGAAACAACCTTAATATTTTAATGCTTTTTAACTGCAGGTGCTTTGTTCATTCTTCATTAAATATTTACAGTTTCACTTTCATGGCCTCTTCAGGCCAGGTGTAGGAGTCAGCCACGAAGCTGTTGTAATCAGTACTGTACACCTGAGAGCGGATGAAGGCTTCGAGGTCCTTGGGCTGAGGATAGGTGGAGGCAGTGTTATTCCTGTAGGCTTCTTCTGCGAGCTGGAAATGCATTAAAATCCTAATTAGTGCTGATAAACTATCTGAGTACACAGGATTTAAAAGTAAGAGTTCAAATTGAAGATGAGACTTCACCCTCTCTGGTGCTGGCAGTCACCTGTGTTCACTGGCTCCAGGTAAGTACCCCGTGAGTAAGAGTACAACAGGATGAGGTTTGTGTTTAAGTGGGTCTGACTTGGGAAACTTTTGAACAGGATTATATGGTCAGACTGTTACAAATACAGTGCTCCTCTCTGCACTTAGCTTTCCCTGTGCAGTGGTGGGTAAAATATTCCACAAGCCCCAAGCACTGAGATACAATTTCTGCTTTTCTCCCATCACTTTATCCTGATTTACACTCTTCCCAAAGCTCTGTAAGAAAAGTGTGATTTTTTCAAAGCTTCCATGCTCCTTGCATATTAGAGAAGTTCAGTATTTGCCATAGCTTGATAACATGCTTCAAAAAAAGTGAACTCATGGGAGAAAAATAGTCCTATGCAGTGCACAGAATGGCTGGGGGAAATACAAATATTTGCTGGCTCTTTTCTCACCCAGACCATACCTAAATGAATTAATTATGCATCCAAATACAGCTGCACAAAAATTAGGTTTAGAAGGGGTTGGAGCTCTCTCCACACATCAAAGTAGCCTCTCACATCTGAAAATCACCTACTTGAGAAACAATCTTCAGACTGGACATTCATCTGTGAAACAAAGGAAGTCTGGCAGACATGTTTTATGCAGTACTGTGAAAAGATCTACTTGAAACTATTTGGCAAACACTCTTGATGCTCCTCTTTTGAATAAAAGGGAGACCTTCTTCCTGCTTTCCTTAGCTCTCTTTAAAACATAAATGTTCTGGTTTGGTGAGAAGCTGAGACCCCAAGTCACCTTATTAAGACTTCTTTTCTAGGATTAATCTGAATCTCAACTCAATTTGATTGAGAAGTACTTTGGGTGTTTATATAAGGATTTCTTCAGGTCTCTGCACATAATTATTGTGGTTGAATAAGGTCTGAATTCATACCCGATGCTTGGTATTCCAAAATATTTTGATAGTGTTCCTCTCCTGGAAAAGGCAGAGGCCTCTTGGGTTGGGTTGTATGAGCCAGAATAAGTATTTTCAGGAATAAAGTTTCAACAGTGAACAGGCAAAAAGAATCACTTGGTAACATTTTCCTTCTTTTGTATTTTCTAAAACATGCACAAATGAGGAGGAATTTCTATCACTGTGTTTCTGCCAAACGCAGAGCCAGTTTGATTTTGCCTGAGGAATTTAAGTAACATTTTCACATCTACAGAACAGAGTTACTACTTGCTGAAGAAGACATGAATTTTGTGATGGATTTTTTTTTTTCTTAAATATACAGAATGAGTGAAGCTATGGAAACTGTTTCAAGTATGAAGGCTCCTTGTTATTCTTTCAAAGGCATATGAAGTGGAATTACTCACAGTAAGGTGACAAAGAAAGAAAACAATAATTTTAGGAGAAAAGGTCACAGAGGACAAACAAAAAGTTGAAACTGATAACCATGAAGGGGCAAAAGCTCTTCAGCTGTGCAGCTGGCATGACTGTGGTGCACAGAAGAATCTGTGCTCTACAGACATACACACTTGCTGTAGATCCACAGCTCTCCTTGTACTTGGATTGCCTTTACATTTATGAATTTAAAATTTAGTTTTGAAACTGCTGCATGTCCAATATCGATTCACGTAAACCAACTTGTGTGAAGGTGTGTTAGGTGATAAAATCAAACCACATAGAGTTGGTGGGAAGACAAAAAGGCACAAAAGGCTGAAATTACTTACCCTCACAGCAATTTTCAGTGACACATCCTGAATAGTGACTAATGGAGGGTAGAGGCGACCTTCCTGTAAATTCTCTTCTGTAACTTGCTGCGCTATAACCTGAAATAACACAAACATGTGTACCTTGACATGCAGATGCAGCTGTAGCTTGATTAGACAGTGATACTGTCTTTAGCAAAGAAATGTTTCTGCTTTGGCAAAATCCACAGATACAGCTTATTCCACCTAGACAGCATTTTTTAGAACCACCTTTGTCATTAGGAGAAGCTACACAAGAATTAGAAATGTACGGAATTACGCCTTTCTCTCACTCAAGCAATAAAAATTACTTAAGGCTTGAGTAAGTCCATGACACACATAAACTAGCAAATAGTTAATTGTGAGATATAAATTCCAGCCAACAACTGCAGTTGGGTCAAAGACTTCTAAAATATAAACAAGCACCCATCATTCTGACAGCTGTCACATTAACCTGTGCAGGGAACAGAACTGAAACCCTTAAGTGGAAAATGCTCTGAAAGAAATTACTGGCAGCTGGTATTTTTGCTATCGTTAGCTACAATTTGTTTGTCATTTGGGGACTTGAAATAGCCTTTCAGGGTGATCCAGATGTGCATAGAAGACAAACTCTGCTCTGGATAACATCTGGTGGAGCCACATATGACACACCAAGAGGTTCTGAAAACAGCAGGAAAGTCCAGGAAACACTGAGACTTAAAACTGATAAAAAAGCCCAAAGAGAAAGCAAGTGCACTTTTGAGGGAATATTCTAGGAAGATTCTTGAAACAAAGCACAAACAAAACTTCCCACAGTTCCTGTCACATTGGGTAACAGGACCCTGTACATATGCTTGTAAACATCTGGGACTGCATCGGAACAGGTGTCTGGATGCATCCCTTCCAGCAGAATTAGGTAAATAGTTTGAAGTAAAGCAACTCCAGGTTCAAAAGAACTCAGTGTTCTCTTGTGCAGTTTAACTAGGTTGTTGGTAGCTGTCCTAAGTATTTAGATTTGGAGTTTAAATGCTGACAAGAGCAATAGGCGCTTTAGTATAACAAGGGAAGAAAAAAATATTTGTTTACATTTAAACCTGATCTTGAGAAATACAGAAGAGAAAAACCCTCTAGGGGGAGCCAAGAGAATGTAAAATCAAGCTACTGCTCTCCATAACAGCAACCAGGTTATTTCAAAAGGATACACAGCCCTTTGATGTGCATCTGAATGTAAGGAGGCACTTACAGCATGAGGTCCCTGATGTTAACAGCTTAAGAGGGCTCTGCAGGAAAGACGAAAGCTGAAGAAATCAACAGCAAGTTGCTCTTACTGCAATGCATCACTGAAAATTAAAGGTTCGGGAGTGGAGTACTTCTCTTTTGTGGTTCTGTTTTTGATAGAATGCAAACCACAAAATATTTGGGTGGTGCTCAAAGTGGGAGAGGTAGCAAGATCAATTGTACAGATGCCATGCTGTTCCTTCAGACATACTCCTGTAACAGCACTGAAAACTGCAAAAACACAAACCCAAGCACTTCCAAAGAGAACACCCTCTTCATGTGGTGTTTGAAAAACACTCTTTGAAAACATCAGATCAGTGGTAGGGGAAAAAAAAGATGAATCAACATGTGGGATTACTGAGAAAATAAGAGGTGTCACAGAAAACATATTTGTGCCAATGTATAAATCCAGAATGTAACACCACTTTGAGCAGGGTGTGGTTTTTCTCCACATACTTCGAACAAGAATGGGGTAGAATCATAAGGGGGATATAGAAAATAAAAAAAAATATTTGGGAGAAAAAGAGAAGTCTGAAAGGAAATGCAAAAGACAACTGAAGGCAAACATTTCTTATGGTGCTGTAAGGAAACCAAATCAAACAGAAAATCCTGAATTTCTTTTTCCACAGGACTCATCATTAAAATGTGACACTAATTGCCAAAACATGTTAAAATGTAAGAACATGTTTAAAAAGCCACTAGGCTCACTTATGAAGGAAAAATCCATACAGGGATAAAACATCCAGCACAGGAGGGCCATACAGTAAATGTTGCCAGAATCTGAGAAGCCATTTCAGCAGAAGGATCACTCTGTACTTCTCTCATTTATCCTCTTTTCCTCAGCTTCTGCTAGTGATTGCTTTCACAGGAAGATATCAAGCGTTTGGATCCTAGGTACCACCCAGTATGGCTATTTTCATATTTTAAATATTAATTAATTCAAGTTTTTAATAGAAAAAATTAGCAATGCTTTATTGCAGTATCTAAAGTAAAGGCAACCAAGACAAAATGGCATAAAGCAAGTGGGGGCATCTTGGTTTTTGGAGGTCATATTCTCCATAATGAAAAGATTTTGTAGGATTATTTCTGAACTAAACTGAAGGTCACACATGCAGGACTATTTCATTAGTTCATAATTCTCTGCCTCTTTTATTGTATTTGGTAGGACTTGAAAGAATAGGCAACATCCCTTGCCATCACAGAACAACTGCCCACAGTTAAGAGGTATTACAGCTTACCTTGATTTATCATCCAAGTCTAAGTTACACTCTATTTTACTTGGCAGGAAGAAAAGAACATTGAAATCAAAATCTGTTCTAGTTAAAACAGCTACTTATTTGTGACTTCAATCGGGTTTAATTGGAGATGTGGCAAAGCAAGAAGCAGGAGGTGCAGGAATGCAGCTTGGGCTGCTTCCTTTTTATA